TGAAAATAAAATAATTTTAAGAAAAAAAATACGCCGACTTCGAAATGCACTAAAAAGTATAAAATAATTTCTATTTCCTAATGAAGTAATTTCTATTTCATTCAATCATACAATTACGTAATATATGTGAATGAAACCTATTTACTCGTTAGGTAGTTTATTAAATACATTTCAACGCTTCGAGAACCGAGCCGAACATTCGCGAACTCCGAAACGAGCGCGTGGCTCGCCGACCGCGGAGCCGCCGAACGTTCGCGAGGCCACGAAAGCATGCCGAGTTTCGATATCGGTTCGATATTTTAAATATCGGTTTCGGAGCCGCGATCGCGGCAGATTCCTGCTGAGCTCTTTTGGGAGAGAACGAGGTAAATACCATGGTCGCCCTTTAGAGTCACGGGAGAATACGGGGGCTCTTAACTGGCCGCCCTGGTATGGAGAGAACGGCAGAACGACTCGCCGCCGGTCGCCTACCAGGGAATGGACGGTGGAACCACCCGGATGCCCGAGGCAATCCAGAGAGCATCTTCTGCTCTCCTTCTGGGATGGAGAGAAGCATCTTCTGCTCTCCTTCTGGGATGGAGAGAACGGCTGGAACCTACCGCCGGTCGCCATCCAGGGGGAGCAAGCGGGAGAATACTCTCTGGTTCGCGTTAATAGAGAGAACGGCTGGAACTCGCCGCCGATCGCCCAGTTTATCGTACTTTCGGGAGAGAACGGCTGGAACTCGCCGCCGGTCGCCCAATCTATTGTATTTCTGGAGAGAACGGCTGGAACTTGCCGCCGGTCGCCCAGTCTATTGTATTTCGGAAGAGAACGGCTGGAACTTGCCGCCGGTCGCCCAGTATATGTATTTTCGGGAGAGAACGGCTGGAACTTGCCGCCGGTCGCCCAGTATATTGTATTTCGGGAGAAAACGGCTGGAACTCGCCGCCGGTCGCTTGCTAATGAGGAGAGTACAGGAATTCTATCCTGGCCGCCCTTGGAACGGAGAGAACGGCTGGATTACCCGCCGGTCGCCTTTCATGGAATGGCCGGAAGAATCTCCCAGACGCCTGTAGTAGAAATTGTACAAAAGTATTGAAAATTCCGAAAACGACGTTTCCGTCCGATCCGTTCTCCGCTGTTTAAAATTGTACTTGTATAATTGCTTAATTGACAGATTTTGAAATTTTATGTTTGTGTTGTATGAAACCAAATATGAATAAATATTGTTATTTGTGTTTTCCACAGAATCCTTTGAGAAGTTTTCCTTTGCGAATATCCTTGCAAAAAATTCATCCTATAAATTTGAAAATTCTGAAATTTTCAAATCCTAAAATATTCAAATTATTAAATCTCCAAATCCTCACATTTATAAATTTACAAACTTCATAAATTTGAAAATGTACAAAATTTGGGAGTTTTGAAGATTTAGGAATATAGGAATTTATAAATGTACAAGTTTGTTAAATCTCCAAATCCTCACATTTATAAATTTACAATTTGGAAATTTTAGGATTTGGAGATTTCAGAATTGCAGAATCTGGAAATTTAAAAATTCCATGTGTTGAAGATTTATGAAATTAAATATTTGAAAATTTAGGGAATTTGAAATTTGTATGATCGTGATTGTTTTAAACTATTAATTTGGAAATTTGGGTACTTGGAGGCTTGAGGATTTGAAAATTGAATGACGTGAAATAGCCTTGTCACGATCATGTGAAGGTCACCTTTAATTTCTTTAATAAAACACTCTAACAAGATATTTTTTCATTAAGCATTTTACGAGTTATAGGGTGTGAAAGTTACCGTATCGTCGCGCCTGCATTAGCATCAGCCAAAGTGTACCGCGCGTAGGTTACATGGTTGAATAATTTGGCCACCCACTGTAAATAATGCCCACGGTGAAATTATTATTTGCAAAGGACTTTATTTATACAACTCTTTTCCAATGCTCTATTCATTCGCTCTGTATGGTTAATACTATTTTTACCATGATTTGGTGTAGAACTATTTCTACCAAAAGGTGCCTTTTGACACCTTCTCGTTTCAATGAAAATAATTGCCAAAACTTTTGGGATTTGAAATTATCAGTTAAATGTAGATAATTTGAGAAATGTATTTACTAATACATCGATGTATTTTTATTAGAGATTGTTTAATCAGGTTGTAAATTCTAGCTTAATTCATCAATTGACAAAATACAAATATAGCGGTGCACACTAAAATGCAATATGATGCAGTATGACGCAACTCCTGTATTTTCCGTCACAACTGAAATCGGGATTTTCTAATATGACAATGATTACAATTCATCTGATGCTGCAAAATGGTGTTGATATTTGTATGTAAAATGGTTTAAAAATAAGTACTGCTATAAAATCCTTAAGGTGTCAAAATACACTTCATGGTAAACATAAATATACCATATGCACATTTTTAGATCTAGGATGAGCTGGAAGAAAATGATATCGCGAATTAATTTAACAACTATTGATTAAAATGATTCAGCTTAGAGAATAATTTTAAATTAAAATTTGAAAAGTGTCTTTTGACAGTTCTTGGTATATATAGTGATAAACTCTTCTTTTGCGACCTATTTCTAACGTGTTTTATTCTTGTATACATTTACACACTCACTGAAGTATTTTCACGGTTACCGCTCCCTACTCTCGTTTCTTTCTCATTCGTTGCTCGTAGTCTCTCACCTGTAACCATTCACCTGTTATCGCTGTTTATTTGGATAGTCTTTTTTGGCGTTACGTGTGGACATATTTGGAGTACAAGCTGAAATAGCCTCGATATTTTTGCGTTAACCGCGTTTATCCTCCGCACAACGATTCCTATTTTTTGTTTTTATTCTATTTTACACTCCTACATAAATATTTTGGTATTGCTAATATTGATCGGTAATTAGTATGTAGTTTGCGTTGCAGAAACGGGGCGAATTGTCTTCTAACTTCAGGGTCAAAGAGTAGGTGTAACAAGAGTCGACACTTTAATTGATACCTTTGATGTTTGGCAAATCTCGTTGAATTGGTTGTGGAAACGAATGGAAAATTTAGATCAAATGAATTAAGTTATCCTCTATGAATTTATGTAAGCCTCTAGTAATTAGAAATCTATTTATTGTAAATTTCTTGTATATTACTAATATTGGCTTTCGAAGTATTTACATCAATTTTACAACTTGAAAATGTGAACAATAAAGATATATGTACATATATTGAAATTATTACTTTACAAAATGTATTTCAAGAATATATATTACAAAAATTATTATTGGAAATAACTTATAAAGAATTATAATTCTGATCTCTGATAAAGTTAACTTCGCTTTTATACGTATTCGATTCTCGTGTTCGAAGCTATCGCAATGACAAAATTTATCTCAATTTTAATATAAATGTTATATAAATTTTAATATAAATTAATATAAATTAATATAATTTAGTATAAATGTTCTTTGACGATATTAATTAATATTAGCGCTTTATAATCTACCGCTGCGAGGAATTCGACGTAAGTGAGATTCTCTAAACGTACCTAAATACGCGTTTGCAAAAATTAGACAGATTTAT